TACCTGAATCTTAAAATTTCATTTTTTCATTAAAAGAAAAATGTTTTCATTTTTCTATATAAGTAGCAGAGAAATTATATTATACTACACAATAACGACTCAATAGTGATTATTTAATGTATATTTACTCTGCCCGATGAATAGAAAATAAATGAAAAAATAAATGCTTTATAGTTAAACTCGCTAAAATAGAATAAAAACCTTTTTTAAAAAAATAGAACCGACTTCAAACTTTAAAAAAGTGAGAAATGTCATTTAATTAATAAGTTCACTATAAGTCGCTTTTAAGATAAGTACTCGTATTATTTATTATATTTTTTTTTATTTAAATTTGATTCTATTTTTTTAGTTTTTATTTCATGCTCTTTAGTGATATTGATATTTCTTAAATTATATTATACAAACAAAAATATTCAACATAGTGAAAGTCTTAGAAAAGAAGATTTTGTTTATTTGCTGGACATATTTTATTCCAATAATCCTATACTTGTATTAAAAAGATTTAATTAGTCGTTTGTTTGCATTGGAGACTATTGGGCCGATATATAAGTCTTTAGCTCGGTGGCGTAGTTGATAAGCGCCGCGGCCCGCGATCGTAATTTTAAGCAACTTTCGCAAGGGTCGGTCACGGGATGGGTGACCAAAAAATTATTATCTCGAGCTACTTCGTGCTTCGGAAGGCACGTTAGGCCGTTGGTCCCGGCTGCATTTGCAGTCGTTAATACCCTCCAATCCGCATTGGGCCAGCATGGAGGGTCATGGCCCATCCTCCTTAACCATCCATAAGGAAGGCCTGAGCCCCTGCAGTGGGGATGTAAAAGGGCTGGTGATGGTGATGATATAAGTCTTTACGCAGGTGAAGTCGCGGGGAAAAAGCTACTTTCGATCGATTGACATACCTACTTTCATAAAAAATATATACTCCTTGAATATAGATAATCCCCCTTTCGGATTTTAAATGAATTCAAAATATGCAATATTTTGTTTTTTAGCTGAAGTTCTGGTGATATATGGTGGTAACAAAATACGCTTTTATTTTGTTTTGTTATTAAAAGAAAACTATTAAGTAGAACGATAAACCTCAAGGCAATCAGGTGAAAATTTTGAATGTGATCAATATATCCTGTAAGATAGTTGGGATAATAGGAACCCGTAGACCCTATGGCTTTAGTTGCCCTGAAATACGAAGATTGCGGTCATAGAAACTTTCCATTCCCTTGGGTGTCAAACCCAGCAACGTTATCAATGTAGTTCGCAAGGTAACCAGTCAAATGTATATTTTAACTATTTAGTTTTGCTTTGGTCAGATAATAGGAATACGGCATAGAATGTTGTATTGTGTTTAAATCTGATTATCTGCCTGTGATTTGTGAACTACACTAGTGGTCTAGTGTAGTAGTGTATAAACTACGCCATCCTTTTCCTATTACTTAGATATTTAATTTTTTCTCATTCTTTATTTTCTAAGTAGATGATAAGATTAGATTTGGCTTTCATAAAATCTAACCATCTAATCCTTCCTTTCCTTATCTCTTAAGAAATACCCTTCTAAAAGTCCTTTCATGGTGTTTTTTTATTATTTTTTGAAAGGAAGATGATACGGGTCATTTAATTCATTTAATTAAAAGTCTCTTTTACACTGTGTCATTACTTTGCATTTCTGCAATAACTCAAAGACCAAACCGTTTGAGGTTTTTCTCTTTTATTGCAATTTGCAATAATCAAACTTAACAGAACAGATCTAAATCATCATCAGCATTATCAGCTTATAATGTTCTCACAGCTTGGGCATAGTAATCGTCGACTGATGCGCATTGGATTTTCATTGTGTATTATGGACGACTCTGCCTATGTTTCTTTCCACTGGAAAATCCAGTGCAGATTCAATGCGCATTGGTCGACGACTACTGCAGTTACAACAGTGACTAACGGCTTAATGTGTTTTCCAAAGCACATGGGAACTCGAAATAATAATACTTCGTTCACCCATCTGATTCTCAACCTTTGTGAAAGTTGCTTAGCTTCCAATATTGCAGAATACACGCTAGCGGCTAATCACTTTGTTATCAAGCTTCAGGTGTTACTATAGCAACAATAATTAATTTAGTTGAGCCTGTTCATCGCCGTAGCAAGATGGAATTGTAAAGTGGGATATGCATATTATGGAATGCGCACCAACAGTTGGTATGTACAGCCGTCAGCGCGTCAGGTTATTACAAAATTCCAATGATGAAAGTCTTCCAAAATATATTTTACTTTTAGCTAAACAGAAATCGTCATCACCAAGTCCATAAATTACCGTGAAATAGCCTCCATTACTGTCTCAATTAACTAAACGTTCATTTTAGTCATTAAAAATTGACAACGAAATTACTCTTCAAGGAATGAAAGGGGCCATTCTGAAATTGCAATCCTTTTGTCCGGAACGCTGATCGCTTTGTCCCCGGCGCGAAGTGCGAACCGCCATTGTCTTAAGATGGTCGTAATTCAGATGAATAACAATTCACTATTGTATGATACTGATCTTAACAATAAACGACGTGGAAATACGATAGTGGCACTGCTCAATGTAAGTGTCTATCCAGTTATATAAACCATAAATAAACAGAATTAATCACTTATCTATATTGAAGTAAAGGTTATTAATGTTTGATTAACGACCGTAAATAAGTGTAGGTATTACTCGTACAAATTATCATGACACCCTATAGATTATTCTATCTCTCTGTTTTATTCTATCGAAAATGAAATTTAGTGCATTTTCGAAGTGCCAATACGATACTCCAAAGAAACGAATTTTTTGTTATCTGTGATTGTTAGGTCCTACCTCACAATCACAGATAATCTTTACGGATATAATTGTAACAAAATTATAAAACTATTCGGAATTTTCGTTCGAGGATAAATAGAATAGGTGTCACAGTAAATGTTAAGCTCTGTGCTCAACGCTAACATTTGAAAATTGTTAGTGCCTAAAGCTACGATGAAAAAAAAGATTATCTAATGTTATTATGGGGAGGATATTCGCAATCTTTAGAGTTGAAAACTGACTTCGGATTAGTTTAAAAATTCTTATGTTTTAGATTATTCAGAGATAAATGTCTAACATCAACAAATTGACAAGAGTAGAAATATAATAAATAAACATTATTTCTACGTGTTTTGATAAATTCGCTTTATTTTACATCCATGTAAAAAATACTGTTTAATTTACCGCTTGAATGTTAATAATTATTCTTGCAATATCAATATATAGGTATACTTAGACAGCGTGCGAGTGTAACGGCTGGTATACACGTATTAAGTTCACAAATAGCTAATTTAATTTTACTACTCGAACGAATTAACGTGACACCTATGCCTATTCTATTTCTCCGGAAACGAAATTACATCCATTTTTGAAAGCTTATAAACCTCCAAAGAAACACATTTTTCGATAATTCGATATTCTACATCACAGGTAGGACCTGACAATTTCATTAATACACATAATATTCACGGATATGATTTACGTTCGAGGACAAATAGAATAGACCTGCAGGTCTAATGTTAATTCGTACGATATATAAGTGACATGGCCGGTTCACACGTATATTTTGATAAATAATTCACTTAATTTTAAATACTGAACTTTGAAATATATCATGTAAGTAATGACTAATGATCTTTCAAGAACAAAAAATAATCAAACGTACTTTGTTACCTAGTCTAAGACTGAAATAAGAGTCAATTTAAATAAATTATTGACTATTACTTAATTTTAATAAAGGCGAAACGCGATCAACCTTTTTCCTTGATATTTTTCTTAGAACTTTTTAAGCCAAGTCAGCCATTTTGTATTTTAAAGCGAATCATGTTCTAAAGTGCTAGAAAATCGTTTGAAGTTTATTTAAACTGTCGATATCAGAAAATGGCCATTCCGTTTAAAATGTCGTATAAAATTCTGCTTCATATTTATACGAAAACGTTCGGATGCAATTTCGAAGGAGGTTTACAAAGAACTGTTCTTTTCTTTAAAACATTTTGATTAAAATGGGGGGCCCTCGCTGTGGTGCGCATTGTTTGCTTGGTTAGTAACATGAAGGATTAAAAATTAAAATTAACAGCCATGCTTGTTTAAATTTTAATGAGAGGTGAAACTACGCTATTGTGATTGTGGAGCGTTATTTTGGGTGAAAAATCTCTAATGAAGGCGCTTATTATTTATCAACAAAAGCATATATTACGTCACTTGCCTTCGTCGCTGTCTACTTTGCGATCCTCATCCAATTTCAATATTCCATACTAATTACTACCAATTTCTGCGTATGCTGTACATTTATTGAATTCATTCCCGTAGGATTTCAGGAAGACTCAATCGCTTCTGGCGATCGAGTTTAAAGCTATTTCCATACTCTATCTTAATTCTCTCTATTTATTAAGTTTCTTATTTAATATGAAAAGTTAAATTTTATTACATCCTTCCGATCTTTTCACCCGATACCCCAATTTTTTTTTAACTTTTACCTATTATGCTCCTCCACAGAAGTTGCTGTTTAGCAATAATGCCGTGTTGTTATATTGTGTTTTTTCTTTTTTTTTACTGTCTTTATCGTGTGCAATAAAGATTATTATAGAACGATGTTGATGATGAATTCATAGAATTTTATACGGATATTACTTTGTAGAAACTAAAAAATACCATAAAACTATCTGTGAACCACCCTTCCGCTTAAAAATACATATCCGAAACTATATTTTATAATTCTGCGTACTAAATACCTCCTCAAAACCCCAGTAAGCTTCCAAACTCTCATTATTATTACAACATAACAGATGGTTACCTTTACATTGCCTAAAAACGTTTCCTAGCGGTTGCATTATCTACGTTTATTTCATAGCTTTCCCGTCACTTCCCTTCTCTATTCAGTTGTGTTCAATGTCCATATAAGTGTGATGCACTAAGTACTATATGTTCCACTGTTGCCTCCCATTGTGTTCCACTGAGCCATTTCAACGTTAGTCGCTCGACGGCCGCGGTACGAATATCGCGCTCTCGTCTAAGCGGAACATTTTGGAACGCAACAGTTGTGTACCGTTCAAAAGTTTAAACTGTGCTATGGTGGTGTTTTGATTTGAATTCGGAACATTTTTATCGTTTAATTTGTGACGTGAAGAGTTATACAGATTTCGTTTTTAAATTTATAATTCTTTTAATTTTTTTAAAATTTTACGTTTTTATATTGAACTTGACCTTACAGTCTTCAAGTGAATGAAAGTGCGTATTGATAAGGTAAGGGGTAATTATATGTTTGAATTTATGTTTGCGTTAAATATAATGCAACATTTATTATTCTTCATTAATGTTTAAAAATGTGACCAAATATTGAATGAGATTTCTAGGTCCAAGTCAATTACTACACGAATTAAATATATATGTATACATGTAATTGTTTGATATAATATTACGGGAACATAAAGATAATTGCAGTAGGCTTTCAGGTTGTTTTATTTTCTACAATACAATCCAATTAATTAAATAAATAAATTTCCATTTCAATGCTCTGATTAAAATGAGTAATTAGGGGAATATTCATAATTCCTGGGCATTGATAATACTGCCATGTGGCGTTCGCCCTATTTGATAAAAATAAATTATACATAGATAATATTCGGGGCATGGAGCAAGAACACATAACGAAGGACAGCGGTCAATTCTAGGGAGGAGATTTGATTAGATAACAATGGAATTAAATTCCATAAAATTAATACATCACGTCAACTTTTCATACTGCGCGGGCGGGCATTCTTTGCCAGATTAATAATTTTGTCCATGATATAATAAAACTTTATTTTGAATTCATCGATACTAAAAACTGTCCCAACAAACGAAAACGTATTATTTATTATAAAGGTCTTCAATTAAGAGAGGAAGAATTTTAAAAACAGTTTACAAATACAGTATCTCAAATTAGTCGTATTACCGACTTACTCTTTTATATGTAAATATTCGTGTATGATATATTCCCCAATACCCGTTTTATCATAAAGCTACAACACTGTCATAATATACGTAATACACACCCACTGACAGAGTGTGTAATATCCAAATTACATTCGTGAAAGATAATGTGAAAATCTCACCCCAGCTATTTGTTTTTATGGCACCAACCTGCGAAAAAATAACGGTTGGAAATAACAGTGCTAGTTAATTTCTTTTAGCATAACTCCAGCGCAGAGAGGTTATAACAGAGAGAGGAAACCGTTTACTTTTATATTCGACATTCAGGGAGATATTTAAGAGAATTAATGTTGGGAGCGGGTGATGTTCAGATGACATTTAAAGAACCCAATGCGAAATATAATGCTATTTCACATTGGGTTCTTTAAATGTCATCTGAACTTGGAAATTGGACTTAAATATATAATATAAATATTACATGTAGCCTCTGATCATTATAATTTTAGCTGTTTAAAGACGCCCACTGCTGGTCAGAAGCTTCTCAATGGATCTCCATATTGACTGGTTCTGTGCTGTTTTCATTCAGGGGCTTCCCAAGACTTTTATAAGATCGTCGATCCACTTAGTTGGGAGTTATGAAATATCGTCCAGAGTATGGTCACCGTTAAAGAAACTTATTTAAGTTGTAACTGAAAATAAAAAAGTAACTAATTCAGAATAAGAATCACAACTTACATCCTCTGGTAAATAATACAAACTTGTTTCAAACTAGCTCCGTAAATTTACATTGTCGGTAATGCCAGGATTGGCAGATGGGAAATTGCGTTCGCTCACAGCGGGAAAGCCTGTTTATTTATGGTTTTGTTACAAAAACAAATCAATACAATTATACTTATATGTATGTACAAGGTAAAAATTGTAGGAATCCGGTAAAGAGAAAACATAAAAAGTTATTCGACCGTAATACGTATCACAAAGACGATAATAACTTTTAATCCAAGACGATAAGTATTTTGTATATCCCATCTTTCCTCTTAATTTTTCAATATAATACATTTAAAAAGTTCCATAAATTGATATATATTTTTATTTTATTCTGAGAAATAAAAATTATAGTGGATTTTTTCGTTGGTAAAATTGATAAATTTGAATTTCGTGCGTAAAAACATCTGTACGGTTACGTTTTTTGTTTAATTGAAATTTGTGCGATAATATATTTCATGAAATCGAGGCAACGTAGTTGTTTAAAAATAAATCTGTTTTATCATTACATAAGCATGGCGAATACGTTTGTATTGAGTTAGTTTAAGCTACTACAAAGTCCGTACGAAACGACCATTTAATAATTAAAAACATTAAACATTATTCCAGAACAATCTCTGAAAGTCCGTATATAACTTATGCAATTATAACCGTCATGGTGGTTACCACAAACACCTACACATCATAATGCTGACGCATTTATGTGATTTATATTAAACGATTCTGCCGTTTCATGTCATCGTGGTATGTCAATGTCTCCGTTTTGTGAACAAGAATTTCATTTCTGAATATTGTATTTTTATATATCAAGTAAAATTGCACATAATGTGCATAATATTGTATTGTTTCAAAAGCTTATGGATGTAGATTATCGTATCGATAAAAGAAATGTGAATCGCCACTTATTTTTAACGATTTCTTCATTGCTCTTTCGTTCTATTCGAGTTCTTTAAGAATATGAGCGTCGTCAAAGAGTTAAGTTCCAGTTGGTTCATTGAATATTCTCTGGGAAACTTCAAGAGTTGTGAGAGGCTTGAATGAAGAATTCACTGTACCTAACTTTACTTTTAGATATGGTAATCCTATTACTGACTTAAATGTCTAAAATTATTAGCTTCATCTGATAGTATAAGATTTTTGTGTAGTTTACATAAATGTAGGTAGAAGTTATGTGTACTTTTTATTACTTAATGAGATATACTGAATATGTTTATCTCGTTATCTTAAATAGAATAGTAAGTAGAAATCCATGGGCATGTTTTATAATTCGTAAAAGACATTTGACTGTTTTAACCATATATTATTGATAAAAGAGTATTACCATATAACAAAAGTTTGCTGAAACTGTCGTTAGTTAGGACATATTGGTCTGTTAGAAATCAGAAAATTGCCATTAAGGAAGCGAATTCTGCAGGACTATCCATCACTATGGGCGTGCCCCAGGGTTAAATATTAAGCCCATTGCTTTTCTATGTTTACTATATTGATCTTAGTAATGTTTCAAAATGAAAATATACTGATTTTATTCCTAATGAAAAATGCCCTGTCCCTGGAACTCTGAGGTGAGACAAAGTGGACTTTTTAAGCATTTTTCATTAAGAATATTTTTCGTATAGCATCGTGAATGCATAATTGATCAAATATGATAATACTAATTTTATTCCATAAGTATTAAAAACTAAAAGAAGTGATAATTATTTTACACTTTTAAAGTTTCTATATTAAATAATGATAGCAGATCCTCACTGAGAAATCAGTGTTTAATCAGTGAGGATCCTCAATGAGGATCTGCTATAATTATTTCTGCTTCATACTGCCTTATATACAACTTTCTTATAAATTAATAAAATACAACTATGTCACGTGCTATACTGCAGGAAGAATTTTTAAAATCGGTCTCTTTGTTCATAGGAGAAAGAAAAAGAAAAAAATTAACTACAATCGAACTAAATATAATAAACCTTATGCAAGTTAAGTTCATACACTTATGAACTTAGTGAGACAGGTGAGTCGGAGAATTTAAACGAGCTCCTCAGTATTATATTACGCTAGGTTCTCGACTGCAATGAGATCCTTAGATTGATGCTCTGTCAAATAGCTTAAGTTCTGCAATTGAGAAATCAGAATTCTGATATTGAAATGGCAAACTTAATTTATGTCAGTTATTTCGATAACGTTGATGATAACAGAAAAAAATAACGATTCAAAAGTGCCAGTAATCAATATTTTTTTAATAATTAATATTTTTATTCAAAACTAATCTTAAACCATTGGCTGAACAAAACGTAAATAAATGTGGTAGTCTATCTATAACAACACGAAATTGATACATTTTTATCTTTATCTCTTCGAATATAGATTTATGAATTACTTAAAAAAATACATGAATATAAAATTTTATTTTGAATCAATTTCATTTATAATATAAATGTAATATTACAATTTGCTTACAAACAACGTCAGCAAGCACTAAAGTTTATAGATACTCGTCAACTTTTTATTGGATAACATTCTTGTGGTTTATAGATTTTTTATCGCTGTCACAGAAATGTTGTGATGTTAAGAGTGGCACATTAAAAGTGGTATCAAACTGTCCGACGAAAGGCCAATAATATCATTTGCAGAGGAACTTGATAGCGCATTGATTAGCGCGCTCGGTCTGCGATACGGGTGTCACAAGGGCCGGTCGAGGTTCGGAAGGCACGTTAAGCCTTAGGTTCCGGCTGTATCTGATAGATAGATGAAAGATTTATTGCATCGCCAAAAAACACACGTATGTATATTAAATTTACAGTTAATATATAAATATTTTACATGACCTGATTAATACATAAAAATAAACAATATATGCATATCATTAGATGAATGAATGCAAATAAACCCACTAGAAAAAAAATCTGCAGCCATTAACACCCACCCGGCTGTATCTGATAGATAGATAAAAGATTTATTGCATCGCCAAAAAACACACGTATGTATATTAAATTTACAGTTAATATATAAATATTTTACATGACCTGCATAATACATAAAAATAAACAATATACCAAATAAACCCACTAGAGAAAAAAACTGCAGCCGTTAACACCCACCAACCCGCTCTGGGCCCGCGTGATGGGTCATGATCCATTCTCCTTATTCGATTTGATTTCATCCATAGGGAAGGGCTGAGCCCCACCAGTCGGGGACTTTAATAGACTGGTGATGATGATCTACTTATATGTGAGCGTCAACTTTTCAATACTCTTTTAAAACCAATGGAAGTTTTTATAAAGGAAAATATTGCTAATTAGTTTTCCTTTTTTTTACAAGAAGGAATTGTAAATTGGCCTTTAGAAAAAATCTTCCGAGAAGTTTTGCAAGATTTTTGATATCGGAAAATAAAATTTCAAGTGTACTCAAAATACCGAACTTTTTCAATTAGAGCCACAGCGGATCAAATATTAAAGCCTACGTTTTAACGAATACGATAAGAGTGCTGGCAAGTAATTTGAAATCGATTTCATTGAAGAGACACTTGCTAACTGGTACTAAAATAGTTCGTAATTATATGCCCTGTTGATAATTAA